AGGCTGATGTTGGCATTTTGTCAGTTGCATAAAAATCCAACAGGTGAAAGAGTCTTTATTATCCCTGAGAATACGCATGACCTTTTTAAGTAGATAGTTCTGCCATTGTGTTGTGGTGTTGGAGAAGAGTGCTGAATAGCCCACAGACTGCCAGAAAGACAGACAGATAAGCCTTGGGGGGAAATGCAGCCAGAGTGCTCCTTGGAGGCAAATACGGTAAAGCTTCATCTCGTATACTTTGGGCATGTAGATAAATGTGGCTACTCCTCGAAAACAGACATCATTCTTGGAAAGATGGAGGGTCAGTGAAGGAGAGGAAGACCCACCTCTGCAGTGAGATGAATTTGCAACAGTGAATTCAGCAACAGACTCTAGAGTCAGAAATAATGAAAATGGCACAAGACAGGGCAGAGTTAAGGTTGGCTTTTATAGGGTTACTATGAGTCACACTTAACCTGACAGCACCTAACAATAACAACAGTGAGAGTCTTCTGTATGGTTCGTTTCTTTCTTCTTATATTTTGTTGTACATTTTACTACTTCTTGGATCTGTCTATTGGCTTGAGCAGAATGATCAGCATGTGGGTCAATGTTTTCAAGCAACTGAATTGTTGTTAGGGACTGTTGAATTGGATTTGAGTCATAGCTGATCCTCCAGCAAGTTTCGGGGGTGGCAAGCTTCATGGAGGGAGATTACCCATATTTCTCCCTTGGAGTAGCTGGTGGATTCAAAGTGCCTGCTTTTGGGTTAACAGCACAGCATATAATCACTAGGTCACATAGTCATGAAATTGAACATCTGGGAATGAACAGCTGAGAGTTTAAACATAACCAAATCTGGCTCCATCACATTGAAGTCATGTGTTTTGCTAATGATATGATGTGTAAAAATGGACAGTCATAAGTGCAGTTCACTCTGGCTTGAATACAATGTAAGTAAGCCAGGGACTCCTTGTGTTTTAAATTCAGAGTTAGCATATTTTCCTGCATATTGGACTAGAGTGTGAAAGAAAGAGCAGAGTTAAAGAGGGCTCCAAGTAACCAGAATGACGGAATTTGTCATTGGCAAAGGCAGAAAGGGTGGTTGAGCAAGTTTGAAGAAGGAGAAAGAAAATAAGAGTTCAGACTTCATCATATAAATTTAAGGTATTTACTAGCCATTCCAAGGAGCTCTGGTTACATAGTGGTTTTTGCCACAATCTATAGCTTCTTGTGACCTATTTCTCTCACTTATGTAACCTACATTTGACTTTGCATTCTCTGGCCTGGAAAACTACAGACATATGTATGTCTAAAAGAATGCAAATATAAACTGCAGAAAATGTAAATCAGCCCCTCTACTACCAAAATAGACAGAACTCTCCAGTGCCAGTGCACCTTCTCTCCAGAGCGCTCTGGCCATTTGCTCACGCGGATTCTACCAGACCAAAGTTGTCAGAAGCCAAGGAAATCCCACAGTTGATGATACACAGTATAGATTGTTGGAAATAATTTATTTTTGTCTCTAGACAGAAATTTGGGGCTAGACCTTGGAAAACGGTGGTTTAGAGAGAGAGAATGAATAAATCGAGTGAGCAGTGGGAACATAAAGGCATCCTTTGCCTCACTTTTGATGAAAGTTATCCTTTGAGCATAGACGAGAAGTTTATCAAGGGACCACTGATATGTCTGTGACTTAAGGATTGAGCAAACAACAAGGTCCACTTCATAGAAGGGCAAGAACTCCAATGCATGGACAGAGGCTTGGAAAATGGACTTCTATGAAAGGAAAGAAATTAGTGTTTCTTACCACTGTATGTGATGTAATTTGCACAACTAACCAAATGGTGGACAGTAGGATCCACCCCCTGCCCCAGGGGAGAAAGATGGACAGTCTTCTCCTCTACAGATTCCTTAGAAACCTGATGGAAGGTGGGAGGAGTCCTGCTCCACTGGACAACAATGAGTGGGTTCTGGGTGACTTCCACTCACCCCATCAAACCACCACTTTACACTTCTCCGCCGACTTTGCTTTGGGAGAGTGAACTGTGGGTATTGAACACGACATCCCATTTCCATACAACACAGGAGTTTTTACCTTCTGGATATTCTACCTACCTTCTATCCTGAAAATACAGTCTAAAGGGGTTAATTCAACCTGCTCCCAAGCCTTCAGGCTTCTGGTTGATTAAAGCTCACGGAAATCCCCAAAAGAACTTGAGGTTGCTTTGAACTGGCTGTTCTTCCCCACTGCTGCTTTCAGTGTAGCTTCTGCTCCTCTTCAGTCTCTCAGGGGTGGGAACAGTTCCACTAAGGTGAGTCTCAGAGTTCCACGAATCTCTTATGATTTCCTTACACCTCACCTACATCTTTGTAATTAGTAACTTTGCACATGTTGTTGTGGTTGTTGTTGTGTGCTGTTGAGTTTCTTGTGACTCATAGTGACCCTATGTACAACAGCCCTAAACTCTGCTCTGTTCTGTGCCAATCACACTGTCTCTGACACTCCCATCCCAATTATCCCAGTCACTGAATCAACCCACCTCATAGAGGGTCTTCTCTTCCTGCGCTATCCCTCTACCCTCCCAAGCATTATGTCTTTCTCCAAGGACCAGTCTCTCCTTACAACATGTCCAAAGTATGTTAGATGGAGCCTCAGAATCCTTGCCTCCAAGGATGAATCTGCTTTCCTAGCAGTTCACGCTACCCTCAATACTCTTCTCAGCACCACAGCTCTAAGCCATCAATTCTCCTTCTATCCTCCTTGGTCATTGTCCAACTCTCTGATGCATAACAAGTGATTGCAAAGACCATGACCTGTATCAGACGCGCCTTAGTCTCCAGAGAGACACCATTGCTCTTCAGTACTTTGGAGAGGTCCCTAACAGCAGACTTTCCCACGGCAATGCACCTTTTAATTTCCTGGCTACTGGTGCCGAGAGTGTTGACTGTGGAGCAAGCAAACTAAAGCTGTGAACAATCTCAATCCTTTTAAAATGGTCTCAATTTGAGTTTTATCAAATTACCTCTTAAGCCACTGTAGCAATGGGCTCAAGTAGTCAGAGATGGTGAGAATGATGGAGGATAGGGCCAGGTGCAGGTCTGCTGTTCATGGGCTCACTCTGAGTTAATGTCAGCTGGATAGCTCCTAACGACAACTACAGTGGAACACTGATACAGCGATTGGTATCCCAAGTGACTCTAGGAAATAAACAGCAAAGCAACTCTAGGAAATAAACAGCCATTGTGTTATAGATGGGAGTGCTCATGGATTAGTGGTAAACAGCAGGGCTGCCAACTCTCAGGCATGTGATTCAAATCCATCAGCTGGTCTGTGGGACACAGATAGACAATCTTTAAAGACAGCCTAAAAGGTAATGTTGAAATTCATTTCTCCCATCTTTCAGAAAGTGTGTTAGCATGCTGGTGTCATTAAAAAAAGAGTGGATAAGGTGTCTGTCTACCTTGACTTTAGACAGAGTTCAGGAAGTATGCTGTTAATTTTATCTAAGGAGATGATCTAACATCTACCTACACTGACTGATGGACAATAGATTCAATGAATCCTCACAATTTTATGTGGTAAGCAGTCTGTTATTCTCTTTTTGTGGCAGGGAAAACTGAAGCACAGAACAAATAAGGAGCTTATAAGACTTAATCTTATAAGTAAATCCTAGTCTCTTGTTGACAGATGGGAAAACTACGGCTTAGAGAGTAAATGGACTTATCCAAGATGGAGTCACCACAGCTCTGGATGGAAACCTAGGTCTGTCAGAGCTCAAAGTCAGTGCTAGCCTCTGCTGTCCTCTAGTGCCTTCCAAATACTCCTTAATTGTAATATTTTTGAGAGAGTTGGCAGTGAGATACAGTCACTGTCAGCTACAACGTATGAAAACAAACCTTCCCATTGAAGTGCAAAGATTTCTCACAGCCATGCTTTTGGACATGTTGTCATGAGGGGTCAGTCCTTGGAAAAATACAGCATGCTGAGAAAGTTGTAGTGTCAGAGAAAAAGAGAAAGACCCTCAAAAAGACGGACTGATATAGTGACTGTAAAAAGGAGCTTGAGCCTATCAGAGAAGCTGTGGATGGAACAGCATAAGGCCAAGGTTCAAATCTCCTGTTCAATGTGTTGTTATGATTTGTAGTAGACTTGATGGCACCTAACAACAACAACAACAATTTAACTTTAATAAGGCTAAGCTTGAAAAAAAATGCAAGCATGATCCACATTTATGAATTCTTTCTTCTTTTTTTTGGTTATGTTTATTATGTGCTGTCAAGGTGGAACCAATGTATATGCCTAACCCTGGGGTGGATTTTCAGAGGCTGTAAATCACACAGGGGGAGACTGTCTGTCTTCCTCCTGCAGAGCAGCTGGTGGCTTTGAACCACCTGCCTTTGGGTTGACAGTGTAAGTCCTTACCATTAAGCCACCAGCATTTTCTTTCTTTAAGGAACTCAGTTTATATTTGGATTTAAGTCACAGGATATAGGAGAGACAACCATCCAGATCTTTTTTAAACGATCTGTAAGAAATGCAAATTATTAAATGTCAATGCCCCACCAATCGCTTGTTGACAGATAGGGAAACTAAGGCTTAGAGGAGTAAATGGACTTACTCACCATATAATCAATCTCAGCTCTGTGCTTATATGCTTGAGAAAATATTATCTTTTGTATCATATCCTTTTGCCCACTTGCTCACTGACATTAGCCCTGATCATGGTAAAGTTGAAATAGATGGTCACCTCTTATTCACAGAGGAGGAAATGCAGAAACCATACCTGGGGAGAAGAGCATGAGAAGGGAAACCACACTGGTGGGGGGTGCCAGTAACTTATTTTTGCTTTAGTCACAGGTTTTTTTATTTCCGCTAGTGAAGGAGGGCACAGTCCAGCATTTGCACATACTTTAGAGTCAGTCATATCACCCTGCTCGCTGGGATTTCCTCTTTTGGAATGGCACCACCAGTCTCATCTTCTCAGCATCATGGATGCGTGGCTTGGTAACAGTTGAGAATGCTCTGCTTTTCAGATAACACCATCCAGTCGATTTTCTGCTGCTGCTGTTGCTGTTCAGTGCAGAAGCGGTAAGTCCACTTTTGAGGACAACTTCTTGGGAAGAAATTTGTTTGGCATTTCTTTAATTGTTATTAGATCTCCATGCCTCGCTGTGTGTGCTGGGAAGCTCGTCTCCTATGTTTTCACTGTGAATTCCTGTTTGTTTAAAGGCATTGGCTAAAGCTCGAACCAGGCTACTAGAGTTGATTTGGATAGAGCAGAAGAAAAATAAGGCGAGCTCAAGTTTTTGGTTTTTATAAAGCAAGATACACTGGAACAGTAGAGAATAGATCACGTCAAGATACTTTTACCCCAGACAACTTTTTAAATCTAGAACCTCTGAGGACACCTTTAGCATAATAGTAGATTAGCACACACAGTAAAAGGTATTATTCATAAGCTCGATACCCTTTTTAGAAATCATCTGTATGTGTCCAGAAGGTCAATTACTCAAAAGCAAAAATGAGAGGATAAGGAAGTAAAGAAATTCAAGTTCTTGAAAGGGAATGAACAAAACAGAAAATTAAAGAGAATGTCAACACATTGCGATAAATGCAACTGATGTTTCTGAACAATTTGTGTGGAAATTGTTAGATGAAAACCTGATTTACCATATAAAACCCAACAGAATATTATTTAGAAAAGTCAGACTCTAAATATTCAGAGTTTTATGGTCCTTCCTTGGTACACTTGGAATTCATTGCTCTCTCTGTGTCATCAGAGAGCACGTAGCTTGGTTTTCCTATTTAATGCGTATTTCATGTATGATGTCTGTGTGACTGTGTCCCACTGGGTAGTTTTCACTATTTCAGGGCCAGACTCCTGCTTTATTCACATCTGACTCTTCCCCCAAAACTATGTAAATGTAAGATAAACTCCTCCAAACCATGTGTGTCTTACATTTTGGTGTAATGACCATGTAAGAATTAAATCCCAAAGTGCCATAATGATATTGCTGGTAGGTGCCATCAAGTTGGCACTAACGCAGAGTGACCTTGTTATGTACATCAGAACGAAATAATACCTGGGCCTGCACTTCACAGTCTCTCCTGTACTTGAAGTGATTGCTGCAACTACTGTAATTGTAAGAGCTGATATTTAACGGTAGTCCTATGTGTCAGACATTGTGCTAATTCACAGTTTACTAATTCACAGAACTCTCAGGACGGGCAGTCATTTGTCTATGGTCCCCATTTTATAGGTGAGAACACAGGTGTAAAGAGGCTCTGGTGCTTCTTCAAGGTCATACACTCAAACAACGAAGCTGGAATTCAAACTTCATTGTTCTCAGTCACTACACTGCTTTTAACCTCTCAGTGTTGTTCGCTGCAGTCAGGAGGGCCATACACACACAAGGAACACATGCCTGTCTGGTCCTGTTGCAGATTTGGACCATTGTCATCCTTGTTTTCATTGGCTGGGTTTCAGAAGTAGACTGCTAGGTCTTTCTAGTTTAGCTTAATCTGGAAGCTTTCTGAAACGTATTCAGCATCATAGCAACAGCTCCCCTGACAGGTGGGAGCCAACTGTGTGTGAGAAGATGATAAATTCCCACTTTTCACTTAGAACAATAAGCGAAGTGCTCTACTGCTGTAGAATCAACTCCGACTCATCTCGACCATTCTTTAGGTTTCCAAGGTGGTAAATCTTTGTGAGAAGAGACTCCCTGGCTTTCTCTACCAAAGCAGCTGGTGAAGTCAGACAGCTGACCTTTATTTAGGCCCCCAACATGTCCTACATTATGCCACAGGACTCTGTCAAGTGTTACAATGTCGTTGTTGTTATTGTTATATACCATTGGCTTGGAACCAATTCATAGCTAATACTCTGGTGGATTTTCAGAGGCTGTAAAATCGCATGGGAGGGAATTTCCCATCTTTCAGTCTTAGAGTAGCCAGTGGATTCAAACTGCTTGCCTTTGGGTTGGCAGTGCAATTCCTCACCATTAGGCTACCAGACTTGCCTCAGGCAAAAATCTTTCCCTGAAGCTGGTACGTGAGATTTGGACTTCCATCCTCCTAAACGCGAGACAGGTGTCAGCATGAGAGACCAGCAAAAGTGCATAGTTCAAGACATCACAAAAGTGACTTGCAGCATAGGCCATAGTATCAAGGAGTGGCTTGGGGAGGGAGGTGCTGGATTGGAAAGGCAGAGTGCAATAAATCCTGGTGTAGCAGGGAAAGGGAAGGGACAAGATAAGACATCATAATAGATGCCATTAAATTAAATAGCACATGCAAGATAACTTTAAATAAAATAACACATGCAAGATATCATTAAATAAAATAGCACATGCCAAAAAAAGTTACTAACAGAATAATTTTAATTTTTCATCAACATGAAGGATCTTGGCAATGTTGTTAACAGAAAGTTCAGCAGTTTGAATTCACCAGCTGCTCTGAGGGAGAAAGATGAGAAATCTCCTCCTATAAAGATTTGTTGTTGTTGTTGATTGCCATCAAGTTGAGCATAACTCATAGCGACCCTATGAGCAAAAGAATTGAAGCCTTTCTAGAACTATAGTTGTTTCTCAAATTTCATAGAGTGTCCAGAGGCATGTTGTTTAGGAAGTGGATGCCACTCCTGCTTCCAAAGATTTACAGCCCTGGAATATTTATGGCCCTGGAAGGCCATTATGAACTGGATAAACTTGGCAAAAGTGGGTTTGGTTTTGGGCTTAGCAGGTACCAGACTCTGTATTGGGCATGTGGCACATATTTTCTTTTTTTTATTTCATAACGACATTACATTACATGTTCTTAGCACCTCTGGTTCACCGGAAGGGAAATGGAAGTTTTGAGATCTAGGAACTAGCTGAGAGATAAGTCAGAAGCCTTCTAAATAAAATGTAGTTAGACCAGAGGATTGCTTTAAAATAAAGATGATTATGTAGGGGGACAAGGAAACCACATTAATGGAAATGGATCAGCTAGAAGCAATGTGAATTCCACACATTATGGCAATATAATTAATCTAGTCTAGCCTAACCTTACCTAACCTAACC